TGTAAAAAAAAAAACTGGTTTGGATTGTATTTATTTTTAAGGAAATATTGTAATATTTAAAGCATGTCTATAGTTGAAGCTAAAAGCTAGTGCAGGAAACTTGTGTTGGACTGAAAGATTTGAAGTTTGTTTTGATGGTTGCATGTACCTTGAGTTTCTCAGTGTACAAAAATATGAATGCAGTCTATAGATCTTACCCTGGGTTGCTGTTTTACACACATTTTCTTCTGAATTCTGGTCTTATCATAAAAAAGTATCCTGGTGTGCCTGGTGTTTGATGCTCTGAAAGGAGCTGATGATCTATGTTCTTACCAATTAGAGACAGAGCGCAGGGTCATTGATCTTCCAGTAACTGTGAGATTACTTCCTGAGGATCACCAGGCCTAACTGTTTAAAGAGCCAAATTGCTGTTCAGCCAGAAGGCTGCCACATGAGATAATATCTCACAGGTTATCCCCGCCAGTGTTCCCCCACCTACACTTCTCAGCAGTAACCCGCAACTGCCGCTGGAAAATAATCTTTGTGGGTTTGAAAAATGTTGATAAAAGCTCATTATCAAGGTTGTTGTTCAGAAAGGAGATTTACTTTAAACACACTTTGTTATTTAGGTAAATTAAATCCTTAATTTGTCAGATTCTGGATTGGTTTTCTGGAATAAGTATGGAGAACTTCTGAAGTTAAGGTTGGATGTGCATGTCATTCTGGTATTCAATTTCAGTCTCAGCAGGCAAGGTCACACTGCAAAATGGATTACATCTTCTCAGAGAAGCAAAGCCCAAAACTAGCCTTCCTGTGATAGGAAAAAGACGCAAAGACATGCACTGAGATGACAGATCACATACTACCTGATGTTATCATTCATAAACATAAACCAAAATAATGCGTTTCAAGGTATTACAACTTTTTGTTTTCTCTGTTGTGGAGTGATGAATATAATGCAATAATTTGTTTTAAATACCTTTTTGGAAATGCTGATTTGGGAGTTGTAGTCCATTAACGCTGGAGATTTACTCTTATTGGCTATTGGCTTGGATCTTTCTGACATTTAAATGTTGAACCTCCTACAGACTGCCCAAGCACAGTCCGACGAAATCAAACGTGCTTGAGAATTCTTGTCGGCTCCAACAGTTTGGCCAAAGTCCTGAATGAGTTCACATTATAGAGGAATCTGCATCAAGCATCAGAGCCTCACACAGCCATGCTAGTCCGAACAGAAGCCCTGGCCTGGGATGACTGCTTTTCCAGGTGATAAATTGCCATTCAAATGATAAATTGTTTATTCGGAGGGAGACCTCAGTTTTTTATCATAACTATGTAGAACTCGGCCGAACCAAAACTCCAAATCCCAGCAGACGCATAAAAGCTAGTTTTAAGCTAAAAAAACACAGGTCTTTTTTTCAAATATCTCTTGAAAATATCACCTGACATCAAATAACCCCAACCCTAATTGATCGGTTGTAACTATATCATTGGATTGGGTAAGAAAAACAATGTCTTTTTAAGTAAAAAAAAAAAAAAAAATCTCCATTCAGTTCAGAAACTTGGATGGCAGAACATTCTTAATTGTATTCTCTATAGGGAGATTTGTGGTGGAGATTCTACCATGTGTACTGTTATAAAATGCAAATATGTTCAAGTTTACCCATCTTATTAACCAGACAATACATCTTTATGACTCGAGCTCCAGTATAAAAATACACTGCATTAACATTTCCCCGAGGCACCGAAGTAAAGTCATGGTCTGTATATGTGCATTATCTAAGGAACACCTGCCTAAACATATACATGAGTCATTCATCGCTTGTTTATTGTTGCAATTTCACAACAAGCTCAGGGAGTCTTTTTTCATGAATACTCCCAAGCTTATGGTTTGTTGCTAATGGAGTTTAATAGCTAAAGGATTTTACAATGAGCTCAGGGAGTATTCACAGTACGTTGTGTCAGAGATGTATGCATGATATTACCTTTCTCATCACGTATACGAGCTATGAATATATATGCATTGAGACACACATTTTCTACTGTAATTTTGCCTTTTTCTAATGTAGACTTAGCTTGCTTTGTCTTATTTTCCTATTCGAACATCATATTGTAGTTTTTTCCTTTTGACATTTTCCTTTCACTCTTAACATTTCAGACTAAACAATTGGCTGCAAGAAGCTGTTATTTGCATTCTGTGTGCACACTGGTGATAACGCAACAAGAGCAGTGAATGAATGACAGAGTGCATCAGTTTCTTCTTTGCTACATGAAACAAACAAACCCTGTTATAATTTGAGGATCACAATCGGGCATTCAGAAGCTGAGACCTCACCATATGATCAAATCGATTCAGCCTGATCACAAAACCATTGGTCTCATTGTTCAACTTTTATTATCGCATCTGATGTTGTGGTGTTTATATCCAAACTGAGTGCTTGTGCCAAATAGTCGATATCTTTGTTCTGCTCGTTTTCATGCCTTCTATCATTTTCTTTGTACTTCAGTCCCATCCAGCTTTGTCTCGTTTCGAGTCAAGACAATGAAAAAGGTTTGAAGTTGTGTTAATGGTCCCTTCTTGGTCCATAATACCTTCCTTTTACCACTCCCTAAGTGTCTGCCCTGGCCATTAATCCTGCTCTGCCAGAAAAATGCTGTCTGCTGATCTTAACTGCCTTTGTGATTTTGAAGAAACAAAAGCTATAGAGATGTGTTAAAATGTTCTACAAGTGAAGGGCTGAACCAGCTCTCTGGATCTAATTAAAGCTTTGTTTCTAAGTAACTTGAACCACTGTATAGATCACTGGTTTTGCTCGGTTGATTTTAAACGTTGTAAGCACACGGTGAAACTAGGACAAACACATTGTTGACCACTTGTCGGTCTCTTTATCTCTAGGCCCCGTGGAGAAGCATGTGATGACTCATGCAAGGCAGAAGGGTTCCCTCAGGCAGAGCGACTGTAGTGCTGAGCGGTGGGACAACAGCCCTCCTTTGCCACATGTTGGCACAATGGGCGACACCTGGACTGAGCGCTCACTTAGATTCGGGAGGTCAAAGAAGATAAGCGAGATCATCAAACGGAAGAAGGTTAAGGTCAAGAGTGTGAATGACAAGGCAGGGAAGAAAGAAAAATCTGATCAGAACAGAAAACTTGACCGGAGGCGCGACAAGAAACGGGACAGGAAGTCGTATCCTTTGCGAGGCAGGGCTGAGACTTCAGACGGGGAGGGGCTCAGCTGTCATGTCCTCCTTACCCGATTGGAGGAAAGCATCCGCGAACAGGAGAGTTGTAAACAAAGCACACGAAAGGATTCACGCAGACATTCATCTCTCAATCCCAAACCCAGAAAAGGGAAAAGCAGTGAAAGAAAAGGGGCAACGTCATTACCAAAAACCAAATCAAATTCAAAAAGCCCTAGTCATGGAGAGTTTATTCTTTTCCCAGAACCTCGCAAGCGCAGACTGGCCTCCCTGAACGCCGAGGCGGTCAACAGTTTACTGCTTGAAAGAGGTTCTGACGCTCAGGTGGCAGCTAAACTGGCCAGGAGACAGGAAGAGTCCACAAATGGAGGGTCTGCCTTGGATGCAAATCCAACCAGGAGTGGTGTCCCTGGAGGTATAAAGGCTACGCGTGGAACCATCACTAAATCCTCAACGACACCCAAACTTGAGCTGTGCCAAAGCTCTAAGCATGTCCAGAAGGCCAAAGCCAACCAAGCAGATAGCGGGGGGATGAGCCTGGAGAGTCTGGATGCCCCCGCCCCCAGACGATTGGCTGGACTTAACGCTGCAGCCCTGCTAAAGTTAACTAGCTCCTCTGCTACCAGTAAACAGAGAGTAAAGGCTGCACCCACAGCTACTATCACAACTGACTGCAAGGCTTCTGCTTTTGTCAAAACCCCAAAACAGCTCTCAAGGGTCAAACTCAAACACAAGGGATTCTCACAAAAACAGAAGGGCAAAAAGGTCCCTGCCCTGCAAAGTGGGTGCGCAGCCTGCAAGAATAAGGCGGACTTTGAGCCCAAAGTGGAGTGGGATACCAGCAACTGCACCCATCGACTGACCAAACCAGGGTACCAGTCACGCAGCATGCTAGCATACCCGCTAAAGCAAGTGAAGGAAGAGCCTCTGGAGACCGAAATGAGCCCATACTACTGCTGTCCGCCAGAGGGCTCAATGGAATACTGCCACCGCTTGGCCTTCTTCCTGGGCCAGCAGCCCTACGGAGAATCAGACGATCAGCCACTTAACTCAGCCATAACCCCTGTGAATCGCGAGTGCCTCGTAACCTCACCGTCCCTAACGCATTCCCACCCACACACAGCTCTGACCCTCAGCCCACACTCCTGCCTCTGCACCGCCGACCACTGCTTCTCTAGCTACTATGTTCACATCGCCCACCCGACACACACTGGAACATCGTCAGCAGGCCTGGCCCCGCGACCTCTGAACTTTCCCCCTTCCAGTTTATGCCCTAATCGGACGAATAGCTCCAAGCTGCTGGGTCCGCAGGTGTCCCACGGCTCGGGGCTGACCCACTCTGCCTACTGCAACTCGGTGGCTTCGCCCTGCTATGGTGAAGCCTGCGGGATCAGTGGCTACACCTACAGAGCCATGCCTCCCGTCACCAGCAGGGGATGTTCTTTCAGTACAGGATGCACTGAATGCACACACACCATCAAAACAGGTGAGTGGAAAAAATAAATAGATTACGTATTTGAGCTTATTCCACTTTCAGATGTATGAAGCAAATTGTCAATATCGTGTTAAACAACTGGAACTGAGAATGTCTAAACAACTACATTTTTCAATCACATCTGAAGCACCTTTCCCCATATCCCAATGTTATCATGGTATAAATTAAAGAACTAAAGAGTACTTTGTTGTAAATCTTGCCTCAGGCTTGTCGTGTGGCTCAACTAGTGTGAACCTTCTTGATCTTTTTGTTGTTGTTATTAGCTTTGAAAGTGTCCTTTTGCTTGAGGCTCTGACTTAGATATTCCTTGATAAGGAACTGTTGGCTTATATGTAATTCCTTCCGTAACAATTGTAAATAAGATAAAGGAAGCAGGTTGTTTTACATGTGTTTCACGGTGGAACCATGCAATTTGCCACTTAAATTATGCTTTGCACTTATGCAACTGCAGCTGCAACTTAAAGTTTGCTAACTTTAGCTAATTTAAGATACTGGTGATAAATCACCTAGTAAGTCTGTAACAAAACACCCGAGTGAACTGAAGTGATTAGTTTAGTCTTGTGTGACATGGTCTAGCTTTAAGTGAAAATGTGATCTTTTGCTTTCTTGCTGTATAATTGTAACGTTCACCCTTTACTTTTCCAGAGGGTTACTCCTCCCCTCAGGGTGACCACAGCCCCTCCCTTTTGGTTCCCCCTTCCATGCCCGTCTCCAGCTGCCCTCTATCCAGCATGCCCACTTCCACTCAGACCAAACCCCACCTGCTGACCCCCCTGTCAGGGCGAGAAAAGCCGCAGGCCAGGTTAAAGCTGGCCCCTGAATGCCCACAGAGCAACAAGCCCTCCAACGGCTCCCGGTCCATCGGCCGCACACGGCCGCCCCAGAAACAACCGTCAACCTTGCCAAGCTTCAGCAGCACCAAACAAAAGAGAGTCAGCCGAAGACGTGCCACCAACGGTTGGCGGCCTGTGGGAATGCCCACGGAGAGAGAAGTCTTTATAGCGGTACGTTATTTGTGAGTGTGTCTTCTAGTGGAGAAGATGAGCAAGATATAAGAGAGCTTTATTCTGTTTGTCTCTCTGAGACTTTTTCTCTCCTATTCCTATTCCACTTCCTGATAATACCCTGATAGGAAAAGCATCCTCGCAGCTGCCTGACAAAAAAATAAAAAAATCAGCTCTAGGTGGTAAAGATAATTGTGTTTTGACCACACAGCTTCGTGTGACAGATTACTTTTTGTCTTTATAATGATAATTATATCTGTCCTTGTGGGTGTGTATGCGTGCATGTGAATGTGTCTGTGTCTCAGGGAGAGGATGAGATAGCCCTGCGGCAGTGTTATGAAGGAGTGGAGAGGGACGGTGAAGTGATACATGTCAGAGACACTGTGCTGCTACGATCAGGCCCCAGGAAGAAATCACTCCCATATGTTGCCAAGATATCATCGCTGTGGGAGGACCCCAAAACAGGTAAGGGAGACGAGGAGGGGGAGATCACAGATAGATATGGTGGATGGACTGACGAAGGGACATGTGGCCATGTTTGTTTATGTGTGTGTGTGTGTGTGTGTGTGTGTGTGTGTGTGTGTGTGTGTGTGTGTGTGTGTGTGTGTGTGTGTGTGTGTGTGTGTGTGTGTGTGTGTGTGTGTGTGTGTGTGTGTGTGTGTGTGTGTGTGTGTGTGTGTGTGTGTGTTATTTGCCTCCTCAGGAGAGCTGATGATGAGTCTTTTCTGGTACTACAGACCTGAGCACACACAGGGAGGCCGAGATCCCAGCACACACTGTGAGGTGAGGCTTCGTTTAATGTTGGCCAGCGGGCAAATTACAGTTTTGCAAAACGGAAATAGCACATTGGAAATACTTTGTCCTCTTTTTAAAAACAGATAAACTGAGGTAAACACATTTCAAGATTTGTCCACTAATGGGTAATGAGTGGACTTGCTTGAAACTCCTCCATTGGACACCTCTGTTTACTTCTAATAACATCAATATGTAACAGTTGCGCTTCTATTGGCTAGCGCTCCAACACATTGTACGTGATAGGCTAAGGGGCGGGACATCTCTTAGCTGTTGCCAAATCACTACAGAGCCAGCTAGTTAACCAATCAGAGCAGACTGGGCTCTGGTTTCAGACAGAGGGAGAAAATAGTCTTTAAAGTTGTACCAGTTAATATTCCTAGAATATTAACTGGTACAACTTTAAAGACTATTTTCTCCCTCTGTCTGAAACCAGAGCCCAGTCTGCTCTGATTGGTTAACTAGCTGGCTCTGTAGTGNAAACTCAGAGAATTCTGATAAGAATTCTGAATAAGGACCTGGTGCACGGTACACTGTAACAAATAAGATTGGCTGCAAAGTTTTCCAGGTCGGATGCGTAAGACTAAAAACGAGGCTTTCAAAGGAGGTATAATTTAATTTTTGTTTAGTATTGATAAGTAAACTTGAGTCAAAGATTAATATACTTGCATTCATTTTTAATACTTACATGCCAGTGTGTCTACATTATATCTAGTTCTCATTCTTATTACTTTGCAATTCAGAATTTAATCCCACCAGCCTTATAAAATGTTTTAACCAGAGGCAGATTGTTTATATTCAAAGAATAGGTCCTAATTCGAATGAAGATAAAGTTCTTACCTGCATATATTTGTTATACTTACCTTGAGTGAGACTCTATAACACTGCAATTTCCCATTAGGATTTAAACAGAACTCTATCATTTATCGAACCAGTCTCCTTTCCTGCTATCTACCCACCTTAATATCCAAAGTAAAATAAAAAAAATAAGGAATTGGAAGATGACAAGATAAGTATGTAGTCTTCATGAAAAAATGACAATATGGGAAGAAAAACTGACTCACTGACAACACAATACATTTACCGTGCTGCCTCATATACACCACCAAGTCTACAGGCTTTGGAGGTCAAAGTGTGTAGCTGGTTGTATTATGAGACACAAATCTTCTGCTGTGGCTTCTTCAACAGACACTAAGAGGGGTGTGTGTGTGTGTGTGTGTGTGTGTGTGTGTGTGTGTGTGGCCTGAACGGGTTTAAAGGCCAAACACAGATAATGACTGTGCTGACAGAGGACATTTGGAGAGATGGTAACACAGGAGAGGGACAGGAAGAGGTTGAAACCTGTCTCCTGCTGTATTCAAATTAACAGATGACCATGTTCTGTATGCCATGTGGTGCCTAAATGAAAAGGTCAAAGAGGGTTTGACCCTGAACCGTGCATGCTGTCTCACTACTGACCTCCTGTGGGGATTACTCAGCATCACAGCTGCTCTTTGGAAGAACTTTACAGACTTCCTATTGATCAAATTCAGTCAGAGCAGCTTCCATTTATGACACATAACAAAGAAATACACAAGTCAGTGAGTCAAATTACATTTAAATGTAGTAAATAAAGATCCACACGCAGAATTTTCACAAAGGACTTAAAATTTATAAATATTCTTTCAACATTAAATCAGTAGGGATGTTATATAATTCTTCCAAAAAATCCAAGAGATCTTCAGAGAGCATGACAAAGTGACAATAATCTGATACACACATTGCTTCTCTACTCAAAAAATATCTAGACTTTTTACTGCGTATATCCCCCGTTTCTTCCAAATATATCAAAATATATGTTGACAATAAGCATCAATACAGACCACACAGAAAGCAGAATCTCATCGGTCGGTCGGGTGCTTTTGTTTTTTTGAGTGAACACACTTCCTGTGTGGCATCACTAAAGGTCACTCAGTGTTTGACCCCTGCCACTATGTACACCCTACATGCACAGAAACCCCTCCTCAGTGCTGGCCCTGCCTTGTTGCCATGGCTGTGTCCATGCAAAGCTGCTAGAAAAGTCACATAAATAATAACATACAATCTAGTCCATGCTTTCTGCAGGGTTGGCCAACACTCGGGAGGATGACTCATGGCGACTTCCTTTTAATGAACGTTCTTCATCTCCTTTTCTCCTGCATCACTCTTAGTAGCAAAAAGACAAGGATGCATTTACAGAAAACGAGGGAGGAAGCTGCTTTGAGAGGTGGCCATTCTGCACACACAGGGTTCCTGCCCTCTAGGGGACAAACACAGTCAATGCACATCTGGGAGAAAGGCAACGGTGGCCAGCTGATTTGGATGCTGGGAGAAGCTGTTCAGCAAATCATCAAATTCACCTACTCATTTATTATATTTAGAGTCCTTCACTTCTTGTAAAACTTGAGTAAGGGACTGTGTGAAAATCATAAGAGTGCGGAGGAGAGAACAAACCTGCATTTTATTTTATAAAAAAAGCAACGTCCTCCAAATAACTATTGTTGTATTTTTTAACGCCACTTTGAAAATGAAAATGTTTAAAGTCACCCATTAGAATCCTACAAATGATACATTTTTTGCAGAGATCAAAACGGGAAAACACAACCAGTCTATACACTTTTTCAATCTAAAGTTACATCAAAAATAGAATTCTTGGGTGAGATCACCATCCCCTGCTCTCCTAACAGATATTGAGTCCCGCCCCTTAAGAACACTTATAAATACATAACCCGGCACAAGTAATTTTCATACAGTCCCTAATTCCCGACAGTTAATGAAAACTCTCTACAATATTGTGCTAAATTTAGAGAAGGGAAACTGGTCTAGGTGTCAATCAGCACCCGAGGGATCTTCTACCTGGAGCCCAGAGGACGTACCGTCCTGTCTCAGTTGCACTGGCTCCGTCTCTCCCCTAATAGGACCAATCAATAAAGGCTCAGGTGACCATGTTGCCACGGCATTCTCCCAAACGTCACTTAAGGTCAGTCAGGTTAGACAGGAGAGCTAGAAGTTGCCTCTTATCAAGAGATACAGGGTCAGATTTGACTTTTTAAGGATGAAAGGGGAATCAAATCTGTGACTCCACTTCAGCCAGCGTGTGCTTTGGTCTGGTCTCCACCCACTGACGACTAAATGATAACACAACATTTACATCTCTTTCAACAACCGTCACTCAACCACTTAATTTCTAAACTCATAAGTTACAAATAAACAGAACTAATTTCTATCCTGGAGCGCAAAGAAACAGGATATAGTTAATCAATTAGACACAGTATTTCCAAATAAGTTAAATTGAAATCTTAATATATTGTATTGTTAACTCCATTTAAATATCTCTTACTTTAAATATATTTATTACAGATCTTGCAAAAAAATACTACACTGTGCATTGGCTGTTTGCTCGTTTAAAGAGTGCCCGGTGCTTCCTGGATTCAGATATGTACACTTCAGTAGAAATCGCCTGGAAGGAAGTTCCTCACTGCGTTCTATCGACAACCTTGGGTCATGTGACTTCATTCTCCTCTTCCATTTGGTCAAATCTCAATTAACGCTGTGATGACTTCAATTTGAACTGAATCAAAAATAATGCATATTCTTATCTTGTTTTTTTAAGCTCATTTTCTAAAAATAGTACATCTAAAAATATATTGCATATGCCATCTTAGGAAAATCGACATAATAAAATAGTTTTAACAAGGAGAAATTGTAAAGTAGGAGAATATATATCGCCTTTTTGAAGAATCTGAGCGTTAATAGAACTAAAAAAAGACCCAATCATGGGGATTTTTGTTGGGGTAAGAGGACTCGGTCTACTCGAATAGAGAAAAGATGGCTTTAGAGTGTTAGAAAGTTTTTTACGGCTTATCCAATGTTGCAGAGCGGGGTGTTTGCAGTGTAGGCAAGCAATCGGGTACTCTCTATGTCTATAAGGTACACACACTCCGACGCCACTCGCTTTCTGAGTGACAGTAAAACACTTGCAGGTTAAAAGGCAATGAATGAGTGTGGTGTGAAATTCTCCACGACTCAATTAAGTATCGAAGCACCCTCCCACGCATTCCCACCCCCCTTCAATCCAAATACACGTCTACTGCTGCTACGTTTGTCCACACAACGCGTCAGGCCTCCATCCAGATGCCTTTTTCAAATCTAAATCACATTAACAGTGTGAATACATACATATATATACCCTATATTTATATAAGTATGTCAGAGCTGATTGAAAAATCTAATGGAATGACTCTAGTAATATATATATACTCATATATATACCGTATATCTTCCATGGGATTCAACAGGTTGTGCAACATGCTGACACGTTGGCCGATTCCTCTACGGGTGAAATAATAGAAATATACAGTTTGCACTGACAAAAAGAAGCCATGACATCTTTACTGTTTCCTTCTCTACCAAACACACACACACACGCACACACACACATAAATAATACACTGTAGGTCCCCCTGCGGATATATTAGTAGCTGGAACAAAAAAAAAGAAGAAGTTTGTTGTAATTAAGGAATGGATTAGTGCAATATAATAAAGGGAAGTGCTGACGAGGAGGAGAAGCGCAAGGGAGGGAGACGGGGACTCTGGCTTGTGTGACATCCTTTGGTTTATCTTCGGGGGGAGGAGGAAGAAAAATAATTGGTGTGGATGTAGAATTAGAGCATGTAGAAAAGACGTTTCCCAGATGTTTCAGGGCGCAACACGGGCAACCAGCAGAGGCAGGAGAAGTGTTTCTAACCAGTTAAGAGATGCAAAAATTAGTCAGTTAATTGTCTAGCCGATTGACTGGAAATTAATCTGCAACTATTCTGATAATTTGAGTCATTTCAGAAATGCCAAATATGGCCTGATTCTATTCAGTTAGTTTGATGTTTTTTATGTGTTTGAACATCTTTGGGTGTAGAAGTCAACTCTGGCTGTTGGAAATGATTTCCTTTCACTATTTTGAGACATTTAATTGACAAAAGGGTTCATTCATAATAATAATAAAAAATCATTGGCTGCAGCCCTAAAACGGTGCATTTTGTCTACTGATAGCGGTCAATCAGAGAATCTTTTTCTTGGAATAAAAGTATATTTGTTCTTCCTTCTGTAGTTGCATGTGGGGACTAGCAGCATAAAGCTATATCTGCAAGTCATAAGGCAAGTCACAGAGAAAAGCCACGGTGGAAAAATACAAGAAAAAACGATGAAGACGTCTCTATAAGCCTTTGCAGGACTCAGGAGTGTCCCGGTTCCTCAGTTAAGGTACAGTAACTCTTTCTATTGGGCAGTTAGTAGAACCTCTCTAGAACAAGGCTTCTTTAAAGGAGGACCATGGCTGAGATTCAAACATTTGTTTTAACTAATAAAATCAGTTTAGAGCCGTTTTGAGTTTACTGACCAAAGCCTTGTTCTAGAGTTGAGTTTGGTAAGGAATAATCTCACAACCCCCTTAGGTACAGTATTCTAGTTTATGCAGGGCCTCGCTGGAGATGAAAATGTATCTGTGGCACACTGAAAGAGAGGATGGGCAGAGAGAGAGAGAGAGAGAGAGAGAGAGAGAGAGAGAGAGAGAGAGAGAGAGACGACGTCGTCGAGAGAGAGAGAGAGAGAGAGAGAGAGAGAGAGAGAGAGAGAGAGAGAGAGAGAGAGAGAGCTCCGCTTCCTCTAAAGCTGCTTGTTTGGTTTGATTGCCTGAAAGCCTCCTAAAAAAAAAAACATCACACACCCACATTTATCCATTTATCCACACTGACAAACACTCGGTCTCCCACTCTCTCTTTCACACACTAAGAAAAACACAACTCAAATCGGGGAGAAATAAGACGACACTCTCCATTAGCTGCTCCTTCACCCCGGCTGGTTGAACACCGTTAACATTGAGCTGACAACGCAGGCTTGTGTTCTCCCGGAAGCACCTTAGCGCCGGACCATTCCTGAGCCGTTGGCTTACACATGGAACAAACATGATTGTGGTGCTAAGATGCTTTGGGGGGAAACGCGGCCCTGACAGGAGCCCAGTTCAGCCTGGTGTTCTGCATTCCTGGCAGGCGAGGAGAGGGAAGCACGCGAGCCTCCGTGTATCCCAGAGTGCTGTGGTAGCTGATGAATGAATATTCCTCGCTCTTTAGAAACCAGGAAGTGACGGTGCTCTGACAGAGACGGATTCTATCGCATTGTAACCCCCCTGTAGTCAACTAAAGGGATCTGTGCTTCATAATGTGTCAAACACGTTTTGCTTCTTCCCTCAAAAAACCCACCCTATCATCGCCCTTCCCTGTGGTCGTGAGCATCCCTAGCAGAAAAGACAGGGGTTTTCAGTCCTTCATCTACTGATCCCACCCCCCCCCCCCGACCACTGCCTCTGTGCAGGAGGGGGGAGCTATGCTATGATTAATTTAAGCACCCCGTCTAACCCTCTACTGCAGGTTCTTCAGGATGCGTCCAAATCGGTAGTCGTACACGTGCCGGCAGAGATACACCAGCTCGGGGTCGACGTCTGTGGGCAAACAGCGGTGGGAGGGGGGGGCGAAGTCGGCGCGGCAGGGCACCACGCTGGCACTGCCAGGTGGGGCGTCTTCGGCACGCTGCTTCACCAAGGCACAAAATCTGAAAATAAATCACCAAAGGTCATATTAAATCAAACACAAATCAAATGTATCATCGCGCTGCCGTAGCTTTATTTAAGAATAACGATTTACTAAACCCAAAACAGATACGGCCTAGTGTTACCTTCATTTATTAACAGTTACAGTGTCAACCATGTGTGATAACAAAAATCAGAAAACAGGCTTACACATATCAAAGGAGAGGTGTTAATTAAAAGGACCTTTTGAAAATACTTTCTGCTGTGTGTGTGTGTGTGTGTGTGTGTGTGTGTGTGTGTGTGTGTGTGTGTGTGTGTGTGTGTGTGTGTGTGTGTGTGTGTGTGTGTGTGTGTGTGTGTGTGTGTGTGTGTGTGTGTGTGTGTGTG